TACTCCCACCCTTTCTTCCTGGGTAAACTTCCTAAACAACTCCCCTAGCTCATTTGATACATCTCCCACTAAGTCTAGCTATCAAAATACTGAGCCAACGAAGAACATACAATCCTTCACGACGACTTTATCCGAGATACCCTCACCCATTTTAACTTAGCAGTTCACTTGCTTAATATATGTCATATCAACGCTCGATCGGTCTGCAACAAAAAGACGGATTTAGCCCTGTTTGTATCCATATATCAACCATCACTTATTATGATATCTGAAGCATGGACTAACAGTAATATTTCCGACCGAAGTATATCTCTTGATAACTATTTCCTATATAGAAGTGATAGATTAAATGAACAAGGCGGAGGATGCCTTATTTACGCTCACTCTAGCCTAAACTCACTACTATGTGATATGCCTGAACTAAACAAACTGAAGGATTCGGTGTGGATTGTATTAAAGCCGTGGAATTCCGTTACCTTACTGCTTGGTTGTGTTTATCGTCAACCTAACGTATCAATAGATGAAATATCAGTATTATCGGAGGTAATCACACTAGCAACATCCCTTCCATTCACAGGCAAACTCATTTGTGATAACTTCAACATGCCCGAAATTTTTTGGCTCCAAGTCAAAGCGCCGAGACGTTATGAATCATTTATTGAATGTCTAGAGCTTGAACAATGGCCTCAGTATGTCAATAGCCCTACCAGACATCAAAACATCTTGGACTTAGTCTTTGCCAGTGGCCTAATCCCCAATACTTTGTATATTGGAAAAAAAGTTTCTAGGTAGTGATCATAACATTGTCATATGCAGCCTTAATATAAAAACCACAACCGATAGAAGTAAAACCGTAACACTTCGTAGAAACTATCGCAAGGTTGATTGGAATAACTTCCACAATTACCTAAGAAGCACTGATTGGAGAACTTTCTTTACCTCAAACAATACCGACACATTAACCAATATATTTTATCACAACATCAAAAGTATCATCAACAACATCGCACCTTTAGAATACTGTAGACCTACGTTCTCCAAAAATTTCTATATACAAATCAGTACAAGACGTCTTTAAAGACATTGTACTAGACTCCACAACTTGAATGACTTTTCCTCTTTAGTAACGATGACAGAAATACTTGTCCGAACAGAGGCGATAAGTACACAAAAAGCATTCACACAAGAAAAACGTGCAGTTGGACTTAATAATAACCCCTCTACACTCACCATACTCCTCCAAAATAAACTTAAACGTTCCAAATTGGGAGGGAGTATATTCATTAAAGACAAACAAGTATACGAAGATCGCAAACTTGTCACAAACGAAAAACCATTTGATGATTCCGAACCAATCGCAGTGCCCCCCTGTGAAATTATTAATGTAGAATACAATGTGCAAAATACCTCCAAGGCAATTAGTACATCGAAACACTCCTACACTGATGGACCAGATGGTATTCCATCTAGCATGCCAAAACGCGGAGGTGATGATATGTGTGTTTTGCTTCTCAAACTATTTGCGATATCACTCTCTTCAGCGTGTTACCCTACTGCCTGGAAAACTACAAATATCATTCCCAAAATTAAAACAAGACCTGAGGCAAATGTCGAAAATTACCGGCTCATAAACATAACTTCAGTGGTATCCAGAGTGATGGAAAAAGTTGTTAAGGCGGCTGTAGTCCAACATCTACTAACTAATAATCTCATCTCGACCTCCCAGCATGGATTTCTTAGGTCCAGATCATGCGATACATGCCTAGTAGACTACCTGAATGATATATATATATATATATATATATATATATATATATATAATATGAGGGAAAGTTGCGTCACACCATGTCAAAGACTGTCTTATGTGCACATTATAGAGAATTTAAAGGAAAGATTTGGTGAAACATCCATTTAAGTTTATATTTTACTAGTTAGCAAAAGAATCAAGTTTTATTTTGATGGGTATAGTTTCCATGATTTGTTTTAAATAGATATTACTATTCTTGAACAATGTCCGTGGAGTTATCGAGCCTCCCTTTGAATATATACAAGGAAAGATTCATATTCAGTTTTTCGCAGTCGTTGGTAGCTCGATGGAAGTTGTTAAATATGTGACCTTTGTGTGTATCTTTCATTTGCTGTTTTGAAGTGCAAGTGAGAAATACATTAAGTGAAAAATGCGCAAGTAGCTCTGAGGCTATAATATAGGTTTAAGCAAATAAACTTGGCTCAACCGCTCTCGGATCATCTTCAAACTCAGGAACCATCAAGATAATTTGCAATGCCTTCGACGGTTTGCCTGTGAACGAAAACAACATCCCAACCTCAGGTAGCAAGATTTGATGCTAAAACATTAACTAGTGATACGGTAACTAGTAATGAAAAGCTAACCGTGCATACAGAAAAACCTAAACGGCAAATTAGATGTTACTTCTGATTTTTTGTATAGGAGTAATTAAACGTCAGTCAGATTATTTGTATGACTCTGTGGACTTGGATGTAACGGAAATGCATGCTGAGTACAACCAGATGGGATATCTAAAATTCAAGCTGTTCGAAACTTCAACTACCTCAACAGACAAGTGGTTGTGTTATCTGTATAGTTCTGTACAAATAAGTTCAACCAAAGTTGAGTCGCTGCCGTCAGCCGGTGTTTCAACATCCAATAACAGTGAAATATGTGATGAGTAAATTTTATTTGAAACTTTCTGAAGTTTTGTGGATTATCAAAAATATATGCGAACATAAAAATGTTAGCAGCTGAGGCCGCAGAGTTGTCTGCAACTATGAGACAAATGATGCTATTGTTGAAAACACGTGCAACGGATCATCAGTCAAAATGATTTGGCGGGGTCAGTCACTGCCTGATATACGGTATTTTGAAGGGAGTCTCATCATGAATCTCACGAATCGGCCTTCAGTGGAAGAAATACGATTGCGCAAGGTGTCTTAGAAAACATAGACCGTCATTTTGTGGACTATGGCATTCTAGAGTGGGAACACTGAAAGCAGTCGTTGAAGCTCTAGAACATATTGACTCGAAAATTGGTGCGATTAGCCAGATAGGATGGGAATTCATGATTCAGGGCAATAAAAATAGCCTTTCTATCCTCCCAAATGGTGGCCGCTACTCTTGAAGCATTTCTTACCAACAGATGTTTATTAGCAACTGGAATCCACATGCATCCGGACAGGTTACATGACACCAGGATCAAGTACAGAGGCAGTTGGAACTTACTATTTCACCTGTTGACTGTTAAGAACAGATAAAAACGTGAAAGAGATAGGGACCCCAACTCGAAAAACCCTGTGTGGGTAGGTTACCTGTCCATTTAAATATGACTCATTCATATGAATTGGACGAGGAAGCTCCTATGTTCATTGCAGGAAATTTCAATCTACCCTAAGTCAATTTCGCTGACAACACGTGCATGGGAGATGATAAATCTACTGAGACTCGGATGTTCGGCTTCATTAAGAGTTTAGGATTATTCGGAAACCCGAGGTTAGACACTCGGCAGAGAAATAGTCAGACACTGTCACGCGTAGACCGGTCCTTTACAAATGGAGAATTCCTGATAGACAACCTCTCAATCGAAGCCCACAAGGAAAAGGTGGCTATTACGTCCACATTTTGCTTTCTTCTCACCCCAACAGCATGGTTTCAGGAAGGGTTACACTTGTATAACCAACCTGCTGACTGCGGTGGACAGATGGACGAGCATCCTCGATTGCAAGGGAAAGGTTGATGTCATTTACCTTAATTTCTCAAAAGCTTTTGATAAGGTTAACCACTTGTGTTTTATCAACATGCTCAAACGACTAGGTATCAAACCACCTCCAATCGATTGGCTTACTTCATACCTAAAATATCGACACTTTAAGGTTAGGGTTAATTTCACTATATCTCAGGCTATGGAATGTCCTAGTGGGGTCCCCCAGGCCTCAGGACTAGGACCTCTTCTCTTCTTGATCTACATAAATGATCTTCCTCAACAGGTAACGTCAGACTTATTACTTTTTGCCGACGACGTGAAACTTTGGAGAGAGATACGCAACCGAGACGATACACAGGCACTTCAGTAGGATCTGACGAGACTTCAAAGTTGGGCAGACGATAACGGACTTACCTTTAACACTTCAAAGTGTAAAGTAGTCCATCTGCGACATGTCGCAAACTACAGTTACAACTTAGGAAACTCCTCTCTAGTAGTATCCCAAGTCGAAAAAGATTTAGGAGTCCTGGTGCCCCATGATTTAAAGTCTTACGCTAACTGTGACAAAAATGCCTTCCGAGCAAACCTTGCACTGGTAACGTTGAAGCGCATTTTTGGACAGTTTGACGGACGAACTTTCCATACAATCTTCAATAGTTTCATCCGACCCCATTTAGAGTACGGAAACATAGTACTCCCCCCTCACTCCAGAAGGACAAGATCACTTTGGAGCGTATCCAACGGCGAGCCACGAAATCAGTTCGAGGACTCAAATTTAGACCTTACGAAGAGCGCCTCCGTTCACTAGACCTTTACCCACTAGAATATAGGCGTCTTAGAGGTGATTTATTAATGGCTTATAGTATTCTTAACACTTCTGGACATCCTCTTAAACACCTACTTAAGCTTAGTTCGAATAATAACCTAAGTGGTAACACCCAGAAACTGGAAAAACAACATAGCAAGACGGAATGTAGACACAACTTCTACTCCTTAAGAGTTGTCAAAAGCTGGAATTCGCTGCCGGCCGAGCTAGTCCAAGCGACTTCTCAGGAGTCCTTCAAGAGGCAACTTGACCTATTCTTAAGGACCAAGGACAGCATCACACTATGATTTACCAATTTCTTTTCCTCTTTTATTGTTAACATACCTAGGTTCCTGCCTGGAGGATTTGGTGATCCCCTGCTACTAGACACGGAAGCCTGTTAAGCGAAAGGTTCTTCTATTCCGTCCACAACCATTTGAACCATTTGAATTAATTGAAGTACGTTCGATTGACCCACTAGTAACTAACGACACCAAACGACAATAGAGCCGAATTCAAATTCAGGTACTAAAGTTTATTCGTAAATCGCAAGTCATCAACCAAAATATATTGTTTTGACGATAGTTATAAAAATTACAAAACAAACCTTTAATTTTTGGGTTTCCAAAGCAAAACTTCCGAAATATCAAGCCAAAAATCAAAGTGAAACCGGTTTGTACCAGGTAAAAGTTATGAACAAACAAGTTCAAAATTTGTGTACAATAAATGCATCCAAAACACAGGAGCGTTTTAAAAAATTCAGGGAACCAATACGCAAAAACAGTAAGAGAAGATAGGCTTTAGTATCAGATAAAACTGGCACCTATCGCACCCATTTTCAAAGGAGGTCGACGCAGCTGGCTCGCTAGCTACCGGCTGGTAGCACAGCTCTCGATACCGTCAAAAATTATGGAGTCCTTGATATGCGACGGTCTACGCGAATATTTGTTATCCATAAAATTTTTTCGGCCCCAACAGCTCGGTTTCAGAAAGGGTCATTCTCGTATAACCAACCTACTGACCGTGGTGGACAACCATCCTTGATCTCAAGTGGAAGGTTGACATCACATACCTTGAATTCTCAAAAGCTTTTGATAGGGTTCATCATGTATGTCTTATCGACAAGCTCAAACGATTACGTATCAAATCATCGTTAGTTGGTTGGCTTACTTCATACCTAAATGATCTACTTCCTAAAAATCACGGTTAACCTCAATTTTTCCCAGGCCGCAGAATGTCATAGTGGGGTCGCCATGGGTTTACTGCTTGGACCTCTTAATTTCCTAATTTAAGTAAACGACCTTCCTCAGGAAGTATCGTCTGATTTCTTACTTTTCACTGATGAAGTGAAACATTGGAGATAAGTTTGGAGCTAAGATGCCAAGCTGGTATTTCAGGTGTATATGAATTGAATTTAAAGTTGGGAGGGCAACAACGGACTGACCTTTAACACTCCAAAGTGTAAAGTAGTCCATTTGAGACATATTGCAGAGTACGAATACAACCAAGGTAACTCCCCTCTAGAGGTATCCCTAGTTGAAAAAGATCTAAGGGTATTGTTACCCTATTATCAGAAGCCTTACACTGAATGCAACACAAATGCCTTTCGAGCAAACCTCGCACCGGTATCCATGAAGTGCGCTTTTGGCCACTTTGATGGAAGAACTTTTTATTTAATCTTCAAGAGTTTTATTCGACCCCAATTGCAGTATGGAAATATAGCGTTTCTTCTCTCACATCGGACGGATAAGAATACATGGCATCGTGTCGAAAGGCGAGCGATGAAATCGAATTTAGGCTTTAAGAAAAGCGCCTCAAATCACTGAAAGTTTACTCATTAGAGTATGGGAATCTCAAAGGTGACTTTCAAATGACTTGTAGACTTCTAAACAATTCCGGGTATTCTCTTACAAACTTACTTAAGCTCAGTCTCAACACAAAGGTTTCGAGATAACAACCAGAAACTGGAGACACAACATAGCAGAACGAACTGTATAAACACCTTGTTCTCCTTAAGCCTAGTCAAACTTTAGAAGTCGCTACCGGCTGAGCTAGTCTAGGTGACTTCTCAGGATTCCTTTGATAGGAAACTTGACATATTTCTCAGAATTAAAAAGATGTCTCTCTATAACCCAATCCACCTATTTCGGGGAAAATTTTGTCCGGTTTGGGTAAATTTCGCGGAAAACTTTGGGAGAATCGCACGAAAGTTTTAAGATTTCCCCAGGTCTGAGGAAAATCTCCGAAATACTTGAGAAAATCTTGAGTTTTCCCTAGCATTTCCACAAACCTTGGGGAAAACCACCATATTTCTTACGACTTTGTGGAAAATTCCAAAATTTCCCCGAGGTTCCCAAAAATTTACTTAAGATGGTGAGATTGAGAAGTTACAAATATTTTTTCTCTCTTTTGTCGTTAAATATACTTAGGCTTCTAACTGGAGGCATTGGTGATCTATTGCTACTAAATACTACTAGATAAGCGAAAGCTTCTATTCCGTCCAAATCTATTTGAAAAACTGAGGCGTAGTTACCGCTTGATGCAAAAATTCAAAATATTTGATTACGCTGTCCAGAATCGTCTTTAGATTTTAGGAATAATTATAGTTTGAAATTGCTACTTAGGTCAGTCAGTCAGTCAGCAAAAACGTAGAACTTCGTACGTACGTACATCTGTTCGAGTTGCCACACCACATTAGCACACAGATGTAGTGGTTGACTCAAATCCCGTAGTTGTAGAGGTAATAAGAGTATAAGCAGTAATCGGGAAAATTAGTGTTTGGAGATGTTATTTAAAGAGTATAATACAGTGAAATAAATTTGGGAAGAGAAAACAAGAGACAAGGAGGAATAAGGAGATCAAAATTTGGGAGGGCACAAAGAGTGGATGCACCTGCGCCATTGTAAACGATTTTGAGCCATGTCATTCAGGGTCTCTAACCATCGGTTGCTATCATCTCGCCGTCCCCAACCAGGTAGTCTACACCTACCAACATGACCCAGTCCACTTGTCAGTGACTTCATGGACTTGTGCCATGTTTTGGTCTGGCCTCCCCTAGCTTTCTTCCAACCTACTCCTATACCACTGAACATCGCACGTCGAGGCAGTCGGTCGTTAGGCATATGTAACACGTGTCCCAGCCATCTAAACTGATGAAGTTTCACTACGTTATCAATTGATTTGCTACTTAAGTATTACTCACCATGGTTATAAATTGCTTGGTACAATTTTGAGCTGAGGTATTTCATCAAAATTAAGATGATTTTATAGCGGCGAGTCACATACCATATTTGTCAACAATCATGTATGAATAGTACGATCTCGTTAACCCTCTCAATCTACCTATTTTAAGGAAACCTTAGGGAATTTCGGGGTTCTCCCCAAAGTCATAATAAGCTTGGTAGTTTTCCTGAAAGTTTGAGGGAATTTTAGGGAAAAACTCAAAAGGTTATAAGATTCTGTGGAAATCTAAAGATTTCCTTAGACACTTTAGAGATTTCTCCCTAACCTGGGGAAATTTTGGGGTTTTCGTGGCAGATTCCCCGAAATTCACCCAACCCGGACAAAGTTTTACCAGAACTAAGGAGATCGAGTTGGTCCATAGATTATATTACCGTCTAGCTCCTAAAGGATAAACAATTATATTGGGTCCATTATAACTTGTATTAGGACGATCAATAAATGGACTAGAATGAAGTTAACCTGAGTTTTAATACCATGAAATAACGTAAAAGTTTATTGGACTAGTTTAATCTGAGTTGGGCTGTATTGGGGTATAGTGAACTGAAGTTGTTCCTGTGTACCACCAATTATAATTGTTCAGGGAAAGTAATGCAGTTAGTTAGACAGGAAGTGATAAGTAGGAAGGTATATAGATTAGAATTCGTGATCAATCATTTTACCATGCCGGAGAAAATCACTATAATTGAATTTTTACTTTTGATAGTCACATGAATAGACTGGACTTATGTAGCCTAAAATAGTATATTAATGTGTGATCTTATCATGTAAAGATCAACAACCAAATCTTCCCTTTGCTAAACTGTCTTCTCATTAGTAATTCCTGTTTTCCCAGATGTATACGATAATATATATGAAATGGCGCTGTCCTATCTCATTTGATGAAACTAGTTATATGACAAATTGAGTTGTAAATTAAAACATATTAGATGGATATATATGGGTACTTGAATCTGATAATGGTGATGTAAAAAATTCATCATCATCACAATCACCAAATATCACTCATTTATTAAATGGATTAAATCTATGTACGTCATGAAGGGAAGGTTTCGTATTTTTAATTGTCATTTTGATACATACCAGATCTTCTTTACCATAGGTTACTCTGTTCTAAACAAACCATCATTAAGATTATCAAATATTATCCAGAGCATGACGTATTGGTAGTTAAGACAGACATGCCATTCTGGGATCATAATCTCTGTATTAGCTTCTTGACATTTAACATAATCGGAATTTGATCTATGAGTATCTTTTACTTCGATAATTGTCGTTTTTGAATACTCGTGCTTACTACGCTAATTAGAATAAATGGTGTTATTGACTGTTATATATGTTATGAGAAATTATGAGTCTGTCCAAAACTTACTCCAGTAGCTATAAAAAAACCAACACACTGTGAACATTTCATACACATAGTTCCTTTTATTATCTTAAAGAGAACAAGAACAAAGATTGGTGCAGAATAATATGAATTCATTTTATTTCGTTAAGTTCTCATCAGCTGCTTACAACCTAAATTATTTGAAGTTCAACATTATTACATATATTGACATATTTATACATAAAAGTGTGATTAAGGAAGAATACATGTGTATCATGATGTAGCAAAGATTCAGATAGAGTTAATGAGCTCATAAAATGTTTGATTCGAATAAATAAATCAAGTTAGAGAGGGAAAGTTCCAGAACACTGAGATAGTGATTAGAACTCATGAAAATAGATTAATGATAATAAAGAAAATATGAATTGAAATCAATCAGTTATGTATGATGTAATTTAAAAGAGTTGGAGTAATGACGCAATAAATAACCTTACAAACATCAATCCCTGAATAACAGCACTATAAATGCATGTAATGTCCCAGAGATTTAATCGCTCAAAGACCTCTTGTTTACTATGCTTGTTTAAGCTTACTAGTTAAGATTTTTCATGCATCTAATAGTGCTTTAGAGGAAGAATTATTTGTCATTTACTATCATTGCTAAGAAAATGAAAAAAAACTTTATTTTAAAACAGAAATATGCTGTCCCGAATCACTGTTGAACTTAGATGTCATTATGTGTGAGTGTGGTACAAGAATACATGTAGACTGAAGCTTTTTCAGTTTCTGATTGCCGTGAAACTACTTAATACATCATTTATAACTTTATACGGAGTTTAAACAGACAAAGAACTTTTCCAGTTTACGAGAGTTACAATAAAACTGAAAATTAACGGCCTCTCACTATTTGATGGTGATAATACCCTGAATGCATCAGACAGAGATTATTAAGGTATGATTTTGGGATATTGTGTCATGTATTGAGTGAGAGTAGTACTAGTGTGCTTGGCTGATTGACATAAGTTGTGACTTAAACTTGTTTTGTGAAAAGTATTTATTGGACCTTTTTATTAAGTCTCATCCCATTTTTCTTGAAGCTAATCAACAAATTTATTATACTTCAGTATTGTTTCGAAACTCCCACAAATTCCTTCAAATCATTCATACATTTTCGCAGATCACTTAGAATGGTTTGAACGTTACTGATTAGTTTTAGAAGTTGTACGAAAAATCAAAAGCTTAAGGATTGTTTTGCTTTGACAATATTTATCAGAATACGCAAAAAAGCTTTGTTACAAAATTTGTGTTAATGATTTACCATCCTCTTGTAAACCTTTACGCAAATTTTGAGATAACAAGGGTATAAAGTCAGGTTCTCAAACAGTTTCAAGTCACCTTATATTTTGAATGCGCAGTATAATTAATAGGGCTTATGAAACGGAACAGTGAGTTCATATCCTGCCTTTCTTCTCTAGTTTATATTAATGAAAAGGCTGTTAGCTTTTACTCGGAATTTATTAGTGATCTCTGGCAAATAGTATAAGTTCCAACCACCATTTTATATCACAACAAAACCCAGAAACTTTTCAGATGATCCTTTTTAAACCAGACTTTGATAGAAACAGCTACAAAGCCTTCATAGAGAGCTCTGGATAAATCATGTAAGTTTACGTCTGGTTTTAGGGAGTGTTTTATCTATTTAGTGGGACTACCTGGGCTTTTTAATTGGGGCTAAAGTTAGTTTACGACATTTTAAGAACTAGAACTTTAGTTGGTTGGTAGCACTGAAAAATGACGAAACTAACTACTAATTTCTAAAATATAAGGGGTCACTCAGTCACATTATGAAATGCACCGTATACAAAAAGAGGTACCGTAAATAAATTCACGGTTTTTATGGTTTTTATTCTCCACAGAATTCAACATGTCTGACAGTAGCAATAATAAGATTCCTAACTATGTACATCAGGCTGTTATTATGAGCGAAACTATTAAAAAAGAGTTGAGACATCAAAAAATATTCACAGAATACAGTATCAATCCTTTTAAGAAAAGTAAGATTTCACATATTTTATAATTTGCTAGTGTATCCCTTAGCTGATAAACCAAATAGAATACAAGAAGCTGATGCTGAAGACAGTAAGTTTTTGAATAACTATAAATGGTTCAAATGATTCATAAAAACTAAATATGTAACCATAAGATACCGGTATATTCAGTTAATAGAGAGTACCTTGTGTTCATGGTCATACTGTTCTATTCGTATTTTAATGCTTCTTTCGGTTAGTATACTTAATAGGTTTAGTTAAGTGGATTCCAGCGATTCTAGTACAGAACTGATAGGATATCGAATCCCGATACTTCGTAAACACCAAACAGATAATTACCAAGGAAAAACAATAAACATTTAGGTGGAAGGATAAATTTGTGTCATGATTGATGTTAGTGAAGGTAGAATGGTTTAGGTGACAAGAAAAGGGTGGTAAACGAGAAACATAGCGTTTACCTCTGGGTAATGAACAATGTAAGTGCTTGACCGCATCTTCAGTTACTTTGGCCTATTGAAATCACACCAAATCGGTGTCAGGTGTTAAATACATGCTGAACTGTTTACTTTAGGGAAGTATCTAATGCTGCAAATATATATTAACTCAGGGCTAGTATTAGATATTTATGATCCTGACACCGGTAGTATACTCAATCACCTTTTAAAGCCAAACATCTGGAAAACTAACACTGGAGAAAATTATTACAGCTTCCACCCTATATGATGTCACTTAAGAGCTTTTTTCAGACATAACGTCAAGTTTTAGGAAGAAAAGGATTCAGCGTTTTGGATGAAACGTGGTTTAAATCCATTGTCCCCCTTGGGAAACAGATATTGGGTCCTGTTTGTATTTAAGTAACTTCTGGACAAAACAAATGTTTTAATGTTGAAAGTCGCACTTTAGCTATATAGACTTATAGATCAGTGATTTTTAAAAATTAAGAATGACGGACAGTCTCACCTTGAAGCATAACTGATATTCTGTAACCCTTAAAACGTTATACATCTGTACTAAAGAACGTAGACTTTGTTTACTTATATTGTATCTTCTAAAAATACTTAGAAAAGTTTATTCGTGGTTAGTTCCTAATTTTACTCTCGAAAAATCTTTGTGAAGCTCAACTTTAAAACCGATTCCAGATTTATTTTAGACTGAATAACAACTCTTCAGAAAGGATAACAGACCTTAATTTATTATATATTGTAATAGCTGTCATCTTTTGGTGGTTTTTAACAGACTTTATGTTTTTTTTTTGTGACTTGTATCACTTCAGATACTGTATTATTTTAATTAGTTATACCCTAGTCTTCCAAAAAAGTCAATATACTACTTTTTCAAAATTATTAATTAATGATTTACTTTGACATTTATGATTGATGTGATAAATCCCAATGGAATTTTGATCAGACACAGGTTTTGTGCTATCACTTGACTTTCAGTCTTGTAAAGTGCAAAGTTATTTTTTAGTTAATATAAAAACATATCCCCCATATATGCTCTCCTATCTAATTATTTGTTGTAATGTAGGATTAATATTTTAAAATCATATCAGAAAACTTGTTATAAATACCCACATGATGAATGAAAAATGTGGTTCATCTATAAGTAATGTAAATGACTGGTTGGCGGTTCGCTTACGTATTCGGTGGATGCTATTCTCCTGAAGAAACTAATGTAAAGGCACTAATTAAAAAAAGAGATCCTAATCAGAGTTATCGCGATAACTGTGTTGGGTTATACTTAAGGTAGTTTTACAATAGGTATGTATGTGCTATTCACTAAAACTTTTATACAACTTGATCAAGTGTACACTTGGTGTTAAACTAATTACACCTAAAAATGTAGGAGTTTGTAAAGGTAGTTATGGATGTGGCAAAACCTAAATTATAAAACCCCCCTATCGATGTTTCCATTTAAAGATGAAATTATTTACATGACCCATTTTACGATCTATTTTTTTCATGATTAACTGTTTGTTAAACTGAAACTTATGATACCTTCTGGTGTTTCATACTCTTGGTAAACGACCAAACCGTAACTCAGAAACCAGCATAAACCATTTTTTTAGTGAGAAATTGCGGCTAAATACTCATTGATGGATATTTTATTTATTTGCCGAACATAATTCCAGAACACTTTGCGAACGTTATACAACGCGCTTCTTTGGAACCACCCAAAAAATATATCGAACCTCAAACAGAAAATCAGGAATATGGTTGGATAAGTCAGCCACTAGTAAGTCATCATTCCTGTATTTACGGTTATATGAACGTGTGAAAAGTTTTCTTTCGAATTTAAATAACTTTGCGAATTACTTGAATTCACAGAGCACTTTGTGCAGTTTTTATTTTAATCATGAACTTCTCTCTCCAGATTCTTGTTCGCCTACATTATTAAAGCATTGAGGTCACCCGAGAAAATCCCTACTATTAAGTAATCAATTGGTGATCTAGTCATCAACGTTTTATAATGTTACGAAATTTAAAGCAGTTAGTCTCTTTGATAAATTCCGATAATGCAATGAGAAGACGAAGGTTATCAGGTTTATGTGATTTGTTTGCTCAATACATTTTGGACAACTTGATCACGCATATACTTGTTAAGACCTTTTATATGAAAATTAAAGATCAACTAGACAAATTAAAAGATAAGTGGCAACAAAGATAATAATAAAGTACACATAAGTAATGTGAAAACCACGCTGGATAATAAATCAGCATTATCAAGGTAGGTTAAGTGTAAGATCGAATTGTTTTTGAACACATAAAAGGAGTTTCAGTTTCTGTATAGCTGAGGCTTCAATTTACTGCAAACGTGGATTAATAAAGGGCTTATTCCATAGTATCAATGATATTTTTGCTGGTAATGCTATTGAAGTAGACATAGCTCTTAACTGAAACATTAATGAATACTAGTTATTCATTGAAGTTTATAAACTGTTATAAAGGTTTCAATACGATGTGATCTATGACGTTTCTGGAACCCAGAAAGCGATTCTATATCATGTTACCATTTAGAGGTTACTCAAATAGTCTCATGGTGGAACGGAAACTTAAATTAGCTATCAATAGGACATTTTATGCAACCCAACTCGTCATTTTTGCAAAGACAAGGTCTATTTCTCACCAAAAACCCAAACGGCACGTAAGTGATAGTGTCAAATCCCCTTGTGCCTATAAATTTAAATGTATGTACCGAAACACGTACATAGGGAGGAGCAATCGTGATTTGCAAGTAAGGGTAGCTGAACACATACCTGAATGGCTGCAAAAACAAATGAATTCCAATGGTCAAACGAGATCGCAGGAATGAAAAACATCTCCCTCCATCGCGAAACATTTAGTTGAGGCCGATTATAAGGTTTATATGAAGTCAGCCTTTGTAGTCATGTACAAAAGCCTTCAAGGGCATATACTAAGGTTTATTGAAGCCTCGGCTATACAGAAACTGAAACTCCTTTTATGTGTTCAAAAACAATTCGATCTTACGCTTAACCTACCTTGATAATGCTGATTTATTATCCAGCGTGGTTTTCACATTACTTATGTGTACTTTATTATTATCTTTGTTGCCACTTATCTTTTAATTTGTCTAGTTGATCTTTAATTTTCATATAAAAGGTCTTAACAAGTATATGCGTGATCAAGTTGTCCAAAATGTATTGAGCAAACAAATCACATAAACCTGATAACCTTCGTCTTCTAATTGCATTTTCGAAATGTCATGATATTTAGGCAATTCAATGGTCTACCTTCAGTGTCATTGGACGGCAACTTGAACTGTTACCTTAGTTTACCTTATTGATTATATGATGGAGTTAGAGAAATTTCACTATCGAAAATCAGTAATAGAGGGGGCTCAGAACGTGTTGTTCACTTTCTAACGCTCTGTATTTCTTTGTCTAATGTTTTTAGTCAAGGTGCTTATTTTACACATGAGGTTTTTATTTATTTATTTATTTATGTTGTTGTTTTAGATGGAAATAGACAGGAGTGATCCAAGGTTTTATCATCCTAAAGTTGCTTGTGAAATGACGAAATTTATGGATGCGTATTGGAAACTAAATGAACAGCGTAAATTAAATTCGTGAGTCTTAGGGATAAATGAATAATACCTGATGCATTAAAAAAATACAATATTGTAAAACCTGGAATTAATTTCATCATAAATATTGTCTGATATCTTTCTATTTTTCGTTTAATATATATAGTTTTAGAATGGATTTATTCTTGTAAAATCCAATTGTTATTATTTTTATGTGGAATAAACAAACGTATTTTCATATTTAGTGAGGTGAGTTGTTTTGAAATATAATAATTATTTTAGTAATAAATTAGTCTTACATTTGTTTGTGCAGTGAATAACACGACTAAATTTTCAATAGAATCTTTCAGAGCCACTATAAGAGAATAATCTGAAGACTACATATACAGAAATCAGTCACTAGTTAAATTGGGTCATAATATAAATTTCATTAGTTACCTAGGTCGTCCGGTCAAGGAATTCTATATATGCATAGTATGTGTAGAGTGTCGTTATCTAGTTGTGTTATTATTAGAATTAGACTGCCATTTAACCAAAAGATGTAGAAATCGATGATAACTAGAGCATAAAATATCTGATGTTTTGTGATTGATTTTGATATATATTTAGTTCTGCTGCGGTTTAGGCGAAGTTGAATCCAAACAGATGTTAACTGCTAAGCTGAAAGATGAGGTTTCGGATCCTAGAGGAAAATTCTATTAAAATAAGGAAGATTGGTTCAGCGAAGAGTTCTCTTTTTGGTGAATTCATTTTCAAAGCTGTACAATCACAAACATATATATATATATACTTATTGTTCAGGATGATAATAATTACAATAATAGTGTTAATAAGATTTTGTCAAACATGATAACAGTGAGTTCGAATAAACAAAGGCAATAAAAAATTATTTCTTTAGTCAAGGAAACTAATAATAGTTTTATTGTTAAGGGCTTAAACATTCATCATGAAGATAGATAGGGAAGTTATAATTAAGACGGATGGTTTAGCACGATAAGATAAAATGTTGAAATTGAAATGAAATGTAATTAGGAGGATTATAGAAACAGAAATAAACCAGTTGGGAGCAGAAGGTCTATGGCGAAGATGGAAGGGGAAGCAGATGTTTGTAGAGGAAGAAAAGTATGAAGAAGAAAGAGAATTATGAAACATTAAAACGATGGCAGAAGAAGAGGTTGTACCAGTCTCTTTTGCACATACAATTCTGGTTTTCCCCAGATGTATAGCTATTGCTTCGACACTGTTAAGAGGATGTAATCAAATTGTCTTTGGAAGACTTTTACTTGCCCTGTATATGACTTTGAATGCAGAGTCTGCTTTGGTTGAGTGGCCTGTGTTCACAAGATGTTCAATTAATGAGCTTTTTGTTGAGCCGTTTCTGCCTCTTTTTATCCACTCAGGATAATGTTCTTGTATTCTTTTGAATAAAATATCGTCGAACTGTGGTGTATGCTACTTATATCGGCAGACATAATTAGTATGTTACGCGAAACAAAGGTGGAAAACCTGGCCGCAGGAAGCAATGAAGGTTGACTTGAAGAAAACAGAAACGGAATTAGAAAGGAATTGTGAATCGGAAGAATCTTACAGGATATGGAAGACAAGTGAGGGAAATTCGTAAATAAAATAATTAATGTATGGTTCTCATATTTTACCAAAACATTTCGTAATTTCATATTGAAACTCGTTGGATTATCCCCGTCTGAGTGTTCGTTTATCACGGAACGACTAATATACCTGGCTCCTCATGAGCAGGTAAGTTGCTAGATGCATATAGAGTTCGTCAGACGAGACTATTTACCCTTAAGATAACTGAAGAACAATGATAGGCTGGGGAACACTATTTGCAACGTTACCGCGAGGAACGACCTTTTATAAAGAGTCAGAAATTCTCTTCGTTAGGATGTTTGTAGTTCTATCACCCTTAAACTCGATGTTCACGTAAAGTGTTTTCTTTTCGACCGACGTTATTTGTATTTTAGGCGGTTTAGGTTTTAAGTTCTTGTCAATAAATATCGAAGGATACCAGTTTTTGAAAAGTATTTTGATATATCTTGTTGTTTGAATGCTACTTCTTATATTTGATCATCACTAATTGTTGTGTCGGAAAAGCTTATCACGTATTCTTGTAAAGCGAGGAACCACTGCAATTCTCACGACGTGAAAGTAAGAACACATCCCTAATGCATTTATACACGCAGTGATTATGGTGAAGAGATTCGCATACTGCTACCATTAGAATCAATAGATAAATTTGGAAATTTATTTGAGGATCTGGAGTCAAATAAAATTAGTTTGGGCATTTCAAGTTTTGGTGTATCAGTCACAACAATGGAAGAAGTATTCTTTCAGTATGTGGTTTTACTTGTAGTCTATTGTTACTGTTTCCTTGTTAACCCATCACATTTTGTAAAATAGTATAGGTTAACTCCACTTCAAGAACTCTCCGTCGAATTCATTCAAAGTTGGAAAATGAATAGTTTTACCCTGTGAAAAACATATGCCACTCTTATAGCTGGAATTCTGAAACCATTTGGAAATTATTTCATATATTAGCGAACAGACTTACCTCGTTCCATCGTATGCAGACCAAAAAAAACATTCCAGGCATCCACACTTACATTAGCCGTCAGATGATATTGTAGTTCTCCCAAATATCATCCTATGTAGACAATCACATAAAGGGAAGTCGATAAGACAATCTCGATACATGTCATCAATGTGTTTACCGATAGTTTTATCCCTTCCTATACTTATCATATTTCTAATCTACAATAAATATTAAACAACCATTTATTTAATCAACTAAGCTATGAACTGTTTACTGTGTCCTTTTATACTGCCTGCAGACACATGTAATGTAAGCAGAAAGTGAGACAGTAGAAGCCTTTTTAGTTACTTATTCATTTAAATCGTCACTTTTTCTGATAATATCCGTATAATAGGTTGATTACACTAGTTGTCAGACTGCTAAATAACAAAGCCTTATCAGCCAGTTGGTTATAGTTAGTGTACGACCTGATGCAAAAAGTGTATCAGTTCAAGTTTACGTATCCCATATGAACAGAGTGATGAAGGAAATTGATATGACTTCTCGATTGAACGCTAATTTTTATATCTGATTATTATGTCAGAATCACTTATCACTTATTCTTGTGAAGCGAGGAACCACTGCAATTCCCACGACGTGAAAGTAAGAACACAAAGACTGATACAAGTGATGATTTATTAACCCCAAAACACGACAACGTCTACGACTCTAGTCAAAAGTACACTCATTTATATATTGAATGTACACCCATTTTTGATTAATAATTAGGATGAAATCACATATATGAAAAATACTTAGAGTTATGACAAATCACAGACTGATTATAGTTCGTGTCAATGGAATAAAAGAATATCGTATATTATACAGAATAAAATATCATACGAGAAAAGAAAACAAATAATACATTTAATAATCATCACATCAAATCAAAACGAAAATAATGTTGAACAAAACTCATAATGAGTAAATCAATCGAATTTTGACTTTTCTTCCGGTCATATCATATTTCGTCCAAGAGGCTCAACTCGTCATCTATGACCTCGGGACTACAAATTCGTATTCGCGTAGCGAGTGATATTATTAGGTTTCGCTTTCGACTACTGGGGACTCAGCTGTGGAAGCTTGATAGTTGTCTATTCTACAAAGACTTTTTGTAAATAGATCTTTTTAGAATTCCATCGCGTTTTCTTGTCATTTCCACATCGAGAAAGTGAATATTTTGTTTGTTTTCAACTTCAAGTGTGGAATTCATTGCTGGGTGACAGTTATTAAATGTCTTTATAAGATGACTTAACTCATATTTGTTGTCACAAATGATAAAAATATCAACCGCATACCTTTAATACAAATGCAAGTTGTCGATAGTTATTTGTTTTCTAGACTGTCCATGAAGGAATCTGATAGTAATGGATCAAGAGGGGATCTCATTGCTATGTCATCTTTTTACCTATGAATTTCGTCGTTCAATGTAAACTGTACATTGCAAGTGCAACGTAGTAGTAGTTCCTTCAAATAAGCTTTCGGTATTCTTATATTAACCTCACTATTTTTTATGTGTTTGCAAATAAAACTAGTCTCTCTGAATGGAACATCAGTAAATAGTGATTCGATATCAAGGGAAAGGTTAATTTGTCATTTACATTCACTTTTTTTATGTAGTCAATGAGTCCAAAAGTGTATACAAATCCGGGTTCTAGGAGATCTGCCAGCTACTCTTCTATAGAGTGGTAAGGGGATCTGGAAATATCAAGAGTTGGTTGGAGGAGTAGGTCAGGTTTGTGTATTTTAGGTAAACCATATAGTTATGCTATTATTGGTCCTGTTGGTTTTATGCGCTGAAAGACCTGTTCCTTGATTGACAGATCATTTTTCATCATCTTAAGAACTTCAATCAGTTTCTTTTTTATCATTTTAATTTTGTTCTTCTCGTTGATTGGCTTAGAGAATTTTCCTACTTAAAGTTGAACACAGACTCTTCCCGTATGTGTCTTAAATCATAAAACCTAAGTTCATAACATTTTGCCTGACGACTGGATAATGAAGAAATAGGACAATTATCTGAACTCATTTAACTGGTATATAGATGGATGATTCACAAGTATTTTCTGTAACAAGAAATATAATTCTTAGTTTTTTGACTGGAAGTCTTACTATTAATAGCAACTAAGTCTTAGATAAAGAGTCCAAATTATTTCCTCGAACTTAAGAGTTATTACGCTCAATCTAAAGTACGTTGGATCCATAAAGCAGATGTCTAACTTTTATTATTGATGGGACTGATTAATAAAGTACAAACTTGTTTATGAAATGTCTAAGAGACATTCAGCAGTTCACATAGAGTTCCTGAGAAAATTCTTCAACGATAAATGAGTAGAATTTAATGGATGATATTTGATAAATACGTGGATTTCTGAGCCTAATAGCCCTTGGAATGTTAGCTTAATGACCTGATGTTGTAGTGAACAGGATATAAGTGTTTTCAGGACATAATAATT